GGCGGTGCGGTTGGCGCAGGATAGAGCAGGGTTTAGGGCTGTTGTGCACAGGGTCGCTATGAGTCAGAAACGACTCGACGGCACATAACAACAACAACAACAACCTGCCTGGGATGGAGATCTTAGATAGCATAGGGTGATGATTGAAAACAGAACCTATGATGTAATTTCATGGCAACTATTTATTCTAATTAATAATGAAGTGGATCTTAATTCACTAATAGCAAATAGTATTAGTGCATAATTCTGTATGGTGAATGTAATTGCATTACACATTGTCTGGCTATTGTCCTAGATATAATCAGAATTGTAAACGCTTGAAGATATGTCAAGGGTCTTATACACCCCACCAAGTTCTTACCCAGCCAAGTGTTAATCCCTTACGAATAAGAAATCCATTACCTTCTTAGGCAGCCTAGACCATATTCAAACTGATTTTTTAAAAAATAAATAAAACAATCATTCTTTAACCTATGAAAACCTGCATTAGTGTTTTTCAGATATGCACCTCTAACCTGAGTTTTAGATTTCTTGAAATTTTTTTAAAAGTTAAAAATTTATAGCTACCTAGGAATACTGGTGTACAAATCACCATTTGTGTTTCATTTCTACTTTCCTTGGTATGCATACCTAGTAGTGAAATAGCTGGGCCATACGGAGTTTCTATATTAAGCTTTTTGAGGAAACAGCAAACTGCCTTCCAGAGTAGTTGTACTATTTTACAATCCCACCAACAGTATATGAGAGTTCCTACCTCTCCACATTCTCTCCAATATTTATTGCTTGCCTTCCTGCTAAACTTTGTCAGTTTTTCACCCATTTTGGGGGGTCAAATGGTGTCTCATTGTGGTTTTGATTTGCATCTCTCATTGCCAGTGATTTGGAGCATATTTTTATGTGTCTGTTGATGATCTGAATGTCTTCCTCTATGAAAAGACTTTCCATGTCTATTGCCCTTTTTGTAATTGTTTTATCAGTCTTTTTCTTGTGGAGGTCCTGTAATATTCTATAAACTTTCATTATAAGACTCTTGTCTGAGATTTTATTGCCAAATGTATGTTCCCAGTCCTTAAGTTTTCACCCTGTTGGAAAAACATTTTCATGTGCACTGGGATTTAATCTTTAGAAGGTCCCATTCATCAGTTTTATGCTCTCCAGATTGTGCATTTCTGGCTGTACTTGTCAGCCTCTTTATACCATACACTAGACCTTCTAAACTTGGTTCCAGTTTGTATCTTATGACCTTTATGGGCCAAAATGTCCAACCACAGCTGAATGGATTGATAAATTGTGGTACATTCACACAATGGAATACTATACAACACTCAGGTGTAATGATTTTGAAAAATACTCCATCACTTGGGAGAGACTGGAGTGCATTATGCTGAGTGAGCTAATTCAGTCTCATAAGGACAAAAACTGCAAAAGATCATGCTTGTAAAAATAGTAAATTGTGTATGGGGATCCAAGGGGGTAAGGAGTGTCAGAGTGGGTAGGGAGGAATCACAGCGTGGCAGAAATTGGTGAGTGTAGGGAGGGGGTAAAGGAAATGGGAAAGATCCAGCAGGGATCTGAAAAGACAGGGTAATGATGGGCATAGTCCAATGGTGATTAATTTTAGAAAATATAATGTAATAGAATGGTTGTATGAAACGTAATGTCAATGAAGAAAAGTATGGGGGGAAATATGCATAATAAATTAATACTTGTAGGTAGGGAAAAATATAGCTAACAAGTAAAATGCACTGACCTGAAAACTATCGTGCTCCAAGTCCTACACCAATAAATGGAAAGTTATGGGCAAAGTGCAAAGATTGAATTTTTAAAGCCCCATAAGTCAACCCAAAATGGAGACAAAGTGGTTTGTTTCTCAAATTTTAAACCAAGGCAAATTGAAGAAAGGAAGGATATTTAAGAACTAGAACTTTGGCTGGTCAAAATGATGAGCAGTGAATACGCATCACCCCCTCAAAAAACCTAAACATGAGAAACCTACTAGTCTTACAAACACCAGATTATGAATATGTGACCCAAAGTAAAAAAAAAAGGAAATACAAAAAATGTCAGAGTAGAAGTGAGAATGATAGCAATGTGTTAACACAAACCTCTGCTCTTATCTTTATTGTACAAACATGCAAAATAGAAAACCTTCTACATCTTCAAAACTGGGTGTCAGTTTGTTTCATCTAAATAATCCTCTTACTTCCCCTTATACTTTATTTTGGTAGGTGTAAAATTATAACATCATTGAGGATTAAAGTTGGGGCATATTTTAGACACTCTTCTGTCCAATTTCATGGATTTTCATCCATTGAATATGTAAACTTTCCTAATTTCATCAAAGTAATAGAGATACTATCATATCAACAGCAAAACCTAATGGAAAGTTGGTGTGACCAAAGGCCATGGCTCTTTGGAAGTTTGAATCCAACAGCATCTCCCCGGGAGAGGGGGTGGTAAGGTGGGGGAGGAAATGAGCAAGAGCAATTCTTCCTAGGTTGTTTACAGCTTCCCCAAAATTCACTAGATGGTCAACTATGAGTTAGTTCTGACTTAACAGCAATGATGATGAGAGATGATTACAATAAAAGTTGACAAATCAAACCCATCCAGTAGAACCATGGAATGAGAACCATGGAATGACATGCTTCCATTAAATTAGAGACAAGAAAGCCCTATGGAGCAATTGAACTCTATGGTACTCCATGACTAGAAGTGACTCACTGGCAAAGATTTTTTTTCAAACAAAAATTTATAATCTAACTCTATCCAAAGCCAAGATTCTATCACTGAATAAGATTGTTCACTCTAATCTCAAGTATAAAGAAGGGTGTTCTGGTGGCTTAATAGTAAGGCATTGTACTGCCAATTCAAAGGTCCCCCATTCAGATCCACCAGTTGCTCCACAGAAGAAAGATGGACAACCTCCTCCCATGAGATTTACTGCCTCTGAAAACCCACCGGAGAGTCACCTATGAATTGGTTCCAACTAGATGGTATACAGCAGCAACAACTGTAAAGAAATGCCACAGGAAAGGATTGTTGTAGTTAAGTGCCTCGAGTCAAGCACTACTTATAGCAACTCCATGAACAAAAGATCTGAACTTTATTCTAACCTGTGCCATCTTCACGCTTCCTGACACACAAGAGCCCATTGCAGCAGTCACCATGTCAGTCCACCTGGTTGAGGGTCTTTCTCTCCTTTGCTGACTCTCCACCTTTCCCACCATCATGCTTCTCTCCAAGGAATAGCACCTTTTAGCAATAAATCCAAAGTACATGAGGCGTAGCCTTGTCATTCTTGCCTCCAGCGAGCACTCTGGCTGCACCCTCTCCAAGACATAACTGATTGCTCTCTTAGCTGTCCATGGAAAGTTCAGTGCTCTTCTCCAACACCACAGCTCAAAGGAGTCAATTCTTTTTCTACCATCCTTATTTTGACTTTTATTTATAACTCCTATGCTTCTTGATATACCAGAAAAGACAATAAGTAACAATTTCTAGATGATTTACTAAAGAGCAGAAGTTGTTAGATTTTTGGCAATATTGTCCCAACAATTTACCATGATAGACAATTTTTGATTTAATATATAACATACTTGTGAATAGATTGCAAAATATTTGTGTTTTCTCTAACTCTGTTTAGAAGGTTTTTAATATTCATATTATTTAGCAATGCTTCTAAAAATTGTTTAAAGCACTATTTTTATACTTTTTTTTCTAGGGCATCCTTGGCTCAGGTTTTGCATTAAAAGTACAAGAACAACACCGCCAGAAACATTTTGAGAAAAGAAGGAACCCAGCTGCCAACCTCATTCAGGTAAATATCAATGAAATTGGTAGATGACAACATCTATCTCCATAAGTGCCTGCTGAGTCATTTTCCAGTCTCTGTGCTTCCCTGCTTGGTACAGCTACTGTTTTGTGAAAAATGAAACTGATACTCAATGCATTATCTTGGATTTTGGCAAGTGTTCCTGTTCCTCACTCCCAACACTCCCCTTAATCAGAAAATATTTTTTTTTCAGCTGTGACACACACATTGTTCAGATAAATTAATGGTGTGAACAAGACTCTGCAGAGGTTAGCAGTTACATAGCTTCTGGAATAACCTGATCTGTCTTCCGAATTACCTAGTGAAACGTTATTGATCATTAAGTGATGGAGCAAAATATGACATTATTTCCTGCATTAAAATTATTTTCCCCAGCCAAATGTATGGCCCTGCTTTGAAGAACAACATATTTATTTAGAATATCAGGGTTTAGTACCTATGGAGTTATTTTTAATACCATCTCAAGCAATAACTTCAAATAGCTATCTTATTTTAAGAGCTCGTGGAATTATAGAATACATCAGTGTTTGCAAATGGGAAACAATAAGCTTGCTGTTTGGTACTAGATCGTGATGTGTAGGCTTTGTTTAGCATTTAATCTTCTTTTGATTACTCAGGCTTGGCTTCCTAGCTAGAAGGAATACTTCCTTTTTGCCACCCATGCCTTTTTGGAAGCAGAATCATCCTAGAACTGAGTTATTTAAGAATCATGAGTATTTTTTCTTGAAATTTGTAATGTGAAGTGAATATTTAAATATGATCAAGATGATTGCACCATCTAGCATTTCTCCCTGCCCTGTCAGAAAAGAAAGCTCTGGAGGTTTGAAGTGTTATCAGTGGCCGTCTGAAAATGCTAGATGTCTCTTCGTGCTGTTGTAACAAGTGAATATAGACTAGCAGTCTCTATAGGTGCTCTGGTGGCCTAATGGTAAGGAATGATGCTGCCAATCCAAAGGCAAGCAGTTTGAAACCACCAACTGCTTCATGCGAGCTGTTGTTGTACTATGAGCCATCCCATTGTCTAGTTGGAACTGATCCATACCTGACCCTCCAGGAGGTTTTGAGAAGCAGTAAGTTACACAGGAGGTGATTACCCATCCTTTTCCCACAGCCTGATTTATAGCCTCTGAAAATCCAGAGTCAGTTCTGACTAACAGCACATAGCAACAACAACATAGATTTCTATGGAAGTTTTGAGGGGATAGAACCCTACAACCCTAATGTTAGACTTTACCTGTGGCTGTACCATACAGCACCTTCAGCAGAAATGGAACTAGGGAAAGAAAGAAAATGGGGAAGAGATTTAGTTATACCATGGAGACATGTTTATGTTCAATACTAAATGAAGTTATTACTACACTATTCATTGCTGTTGAAACCAACCCATAGCTTTCCCGCCAGTGAGTTTTTAAAGGCTATAACTTACATAAGAGGAGATTGCCCATCTTTCTCATACAGAGAAGTTGGTGGATTCAGACACTTACCTCTAGATTGGCAGTACAACTCCTTACCTACTGTTGTTGTTGTTGTTGAGTACTATCATGTCGGAACCGACCCATAGCTGACCATCTGGTGGGTTTTCAGAGGCAGTTAATCACATAAGAGGAAATCACCCATCCTTCTCCTATGGAGCAGCTGCTGGCCTCAAACCATGTGCTCTTGGAATTGCAGTGCAACTCCTTGCCACTAGACCACCAAAGCTCCCTCCTTACCCACTAGGGCACAAAAAACCAGTTCTAAGCCTATTGATAAGGATATGGATCAAAGGACATGACTTTTTAATATAGACCACAGATGTCTCTACTTAAATATCATTTCTAAAAAACGAAAACTAATCTAAACTTTGTTCCTCAGAGGGAATTACCCCTAAGTAGTTGTTGGCTTTGTTGTTGTTATGTACCATTAAGTCAGAACTAATTCATAACTGACTCTCCAGTGGGTTTTCAGAGGTAGTAAATCACACAGGAAATGATCTCCTATCCTTCTCCCATGAAGCAGCTTGTAGATTGTGCAGCAGCTGGACATACCTTTGGGTTGGTGGTGCTTCTCCTTACCATGAAGCCACCAGAAGTAGGACTTTAAGATCAGAAGCCAAACAATAATTGATAAAATGAAAAGAACAGGTATACATTTCCAAAGCTGTGTTTCCAAACTTACAGGACTGGTCAAAGTTAGAATTGATGTCAGTAGTTAGAACTGATAGCCTTTTACCCTTTAGAGGTCTTCAACCAGTCCAGAAGTATTTCCACACTTCTAGTGGAGTTTTCTTATTACTATTCTTATTATTCAATTATCTCCACTCTAGAACAATTCTTTCCAACCTTTCCCCATGGGTTCCTTACATCTGTGAGGACAGTAAACTCTATTGATATGTGAGACTAATTAGACATACCAAGACCCCTTTTACAGGAGACAGATGATGCTATTGTAATTAATAAGATAAAATATCCTTAAAATCCTAACTGAATTATGTACAAACTCTTTTATTATATCTTTTCTCAATTGATACATATTGAAGCTACAACCAGTACTATAAACAGATCCTTGCTAATTCTCAATCTAAAAATAAAAAATTACATCAAAAAGCAGCCTAGAATATCAACTCTTGTTACAGTTAGGATGTGAGCCTGTTGAAGAATTTCTTTTTAGTACTGGTGGTGAACTGCACTCTCCAAAACAGTAGCCATCTGAAAATTTAAATAACTTAAAAATTCAGTTCCTCAGTGGTACTAGCCACATTTCAAGTATTTCATTATCACATGTCGCAATTAGTGACTGCTGTATTGGACAAGATATATAGAGAGAAATATAAGAACTTCCTTAAGTTATCCTTAACAAATACATTGTGGGAAAGTAAGTTCTAGCTGAATGTGAAGCTAAATTTCTATTCCTGCACCAAAACATTGGGATATGTCATATATGTGTCATTAACCAAAACAATGCAAGACACTCCCCCCACCCACAGGAAACTCAGAAGGGTAATAAGAGGTCAGTTGAACACTTTTGCTTGGGAGCTTAGGAGACTTTATGACATTGAGCATATTGTGAACAATAATTGTAGTTGTTAGGTGCCAGCGAGTTGAATACGACCCTATGAATAACAGATCTGAACCCTGTCCTATCCTGTGCCATCCTCACACTTCCTGACCCATTGTGGCTGTCACTGTGTCAATTCACCTGGATAAGGGTCTTCTTCTCTTTCGCTGACCCTCTGCCTTTCCAAGCATGATGTCCGTCTCTGAGGAACAGCCTCTCCCAGCAACACACCGTAAGTATGTGAGACAAAGCTTTATCACGTTTGCCTCCAAGGAGCATTCTGACTGTACCTTCTCCAAGATATACCTTTTTATTCCTTTAACAATTCATGGGATGTTCAGTGCTCTTCTCCAACATCACAGCTCAAAGGCATCAACTATTCTGCAATCCTTATTTATTGTCCTGTTTTCAGATGCATAGCAAGTGATTGAAAAGACTATGGATTGAATCAGGTGCACATTAGTGTTCAAATTGTAAAATTGTTAATTTTTCTTTTATTTAAAACCCCAACTTAAATGTTCTTAGCAAACAAAAGTAGGGATTCAAGAATTAAGAAATTCTTGTGCGTTTTTCTTAATCCCTTGCTCATGGATAGGAAGACTCAATGTTGTGAAAATGGCAATACTACCAAAAGCAATTTACACATTTAATGCAATCCCAATACAAATAC